AGCAGCAGAAGGACTTGCTTCAATATGACTGCTTGGCCATCAATGACTTTTTTTTTAGCCTTAGCTTAGTCTCCATGCACCAACTCTTGCACTCGACAATGGGTGACAAGGTTCTTTTACTTTTTTCAGGACATTATTGGGTTTTAAATCAGACATTAACCACAGCATCAGGATAAACAATGACCCACCTCTTCATCTGGACAGAAGCATACAACCTAGTACATATATGTCCAGCTGGACAGCAGAAACATGGCACTGTTGAAAAGCACAGCAATCCCCTGCTTCTTAATTTATATGTTGCTTGTGTACTTGCATGCTGTACCCTATTATCCCAGGTATCAGTGATGTAGTTGATTCCAGCTGGTCAGCCCTAAGCAAATGGCTCAGCCCAGCCACCAATTATAAACTCTGTATTTAACACTCAGTCTTGGCCGTCTGTTCATCAGTCGGCCAGGTTCTCCATAACAAGGCAGATGGGCACATAGCCATTCTCAAAAACTGATTAAAAAAATGAAAAAACAATATATGTTCAAATATGACTGGATCTATTAAGGTTGTGTTTTTTTTTTTTTTATTATTATTATTCATTTGAAATGCAAAATAAATCAGTAAAATAATTCTATGTTTTCTGCTGTCTGAAACGTATGCTCATTCTGGGAGTGAAAAAAAGATTCATTTCCTTTGCTTTTCTTCGGTGTCTTCCCTCATTGTGTGATGGAAATTTGTGGTTTTCTACACAAAGGAATTTACAAACTATACAAGAGAAAAACAAGGCACAAACATTCATTCAGTAAATATCCAATTTACTCCAGAAAACAAGCAATTTCATGGCTATCCTCCACGATAATCAGCCTGTCGTTTATTTTGGGTTTGAATGAAATTCTCTCTTTCATGTAAAAGTAGAACAGTTCAGCTTGTGCACCAAATTTCTGCTGTGAAATCAGGTTTTGCTGTTGTCGAATAGTATGAGTTTGAGTCAAATGTGGGAATTAGTATCTTTGTGTTGTAATCTTGAATCAATTTAAAGGTACGTTTTTCCTGCTTCTGAGATTTTTTTTTTTTATCTTCTGTTTGCTATCATTTTCTTTATATCAAAAACCACTGTGAGCTTTCCTGTAGGCAGTTTCATATCTGCTAATGTCCAGAACCTGAATTGATTATAACTAGATCTCACCTCACCCGCTTGCTGTTGGGGATATTCCAATTTTACAGCTCGCAGACAAACAATGAGACCAGATTCAATTTCACAAATACACTAACTGTAACCTTCACACCCCATCCGATCTGCTACCTAGTGCACAAAACAAAACAAAATAAAACAAAAATAAACAAACAAACGAAAAAGTCACTACTGCTGAGAGCAGAAATATTTTCGTATTATTTTATGAAGGGAAGCAGTCCTCTATTATCAAAAGTACAGAGCGAGGTTTATTCTTTTAAAGTTTGAATAAAGACTATTTCTTGTCACGACATAACGCTTCTTGTTTCAGATGTTTTAATGGATTTCTCTTCAGGGATGAAATTGCTGCTGTGTTGGAATAGGAAAATCATTGAGCTATGTAAACATGTGGAAAAAGACGCAGAGAAGTTACTGGACATGAATAAACGAGAGAGTCCTGAGAGGACTCTGTTTTTATCTGTGGTGCCGCAGTCAATGGGAAACGGAGGTAGGTTGTTTGAAGAGAAAAATAGGGTACAGTGCATGGGGCTGATGGGGAATAATGTGGAAGAAGTTGAAAAAAGCCATCCATGAAATTGCTTGTTGCATCGTTTAAAACCTCTTGATTGATGGTGGCAATTTGAAAGCCTGGCTCTTTCTCGGTGTTGTGGAAGTATTGGAAGCAAGTTCTTTAGGGCTCTCATCTTAGAAAAGTGCACCCTAAAACACCTTAACCCAGTTAAATAACAGCTATTGGCTATATAAATTCAACTTTAATTTTGTTCTTTTCGGGGGGGAGGGGTTGTTTTTGTGCTCCTTGTTGATAGCTGGTCTTGCATAACATTAATGCTTCTTGGTAGGAAACACTTTTTCTTTATTTCTTTGTAAATGTGTAAACTATATAAATACTTTGGTTGCTAACGCAGGCTCTAATGTAGATGTTTTGGTTTTCAGCTCCATTTGCTACCATAATGCAAATTAATAAAATGGTTAGGTTAAAGTTTTTCTGGACGAAGGCAATCAGCCATTACACATTTCCAGACATTTACTTTCACTAGTATCGCTGTCGTTTTAAGACTAACCATGTTTTTAAGTTGCCAGTGTATGAATTGCATAAAAAAGTAGCATGATTGAAAACATTCTTCTCTTCCTAAAGAAAAGACTGAAATCATTGTTCATTATCCAGCATATATTGTTATTTGCTTTTAAAATCAGGAATATTGTAGCATAAGATCCTGGTTGTAACTTGGGGAAACGTGTTGTAACATGGACAAGCCCCAGTGCATATGTCAGACTGTTTGCATTGAATTGTCCCTTGCAGATCCTTTAATCAGGGCCTGCTGACTGCGCCACACACAAAGGGTGATAGATCAATTCAAACTTTATGGCCACTATTCTGGAACTCACTACGCCAAAGTTCTGCAGTTTCCATTGTTCTCTTGAAATTAAGCTGAAAACGTAAAATTTTAAAGTTGAATAGAACTTTGTAATTTTTTTCTTTTTGACATATAAATATATTTTATCTTTGTACTTTTGTGCTTAAAAGAAATTATTCCAACAGTGAAACAGTATTTATTTATTTATTTATTTTTTCATATTTGTCTCATTTTGCCCTGACCATTTCTTTTGCACTTTATGGAACCTGAAAGAGTTAATGAGAGCAAACAGTGTCAAAGATAGCAAAAGCTCTCAATTGTTTTGGGATTATCTTTAGCTGAGCACTTCTTAAGCCATTGCCAGGATCTTCTAGCACCTGTTGGCAGACCATAATTATTATAGTCTTTCAACTGGAGTCCAAAACATGCAATTGCAAATTGTTTTTTAAATATGGTTGAAAGAAATTTATTTTAGAAGGTTGCTTTGTCTCATTTGAATTTATCCATCTGAATAACTAATATTCATTTTCAGGTGTGCTTGATATGCAGAAATACAGAAAACTAACTTCAGCCTCATACATATCTCTCTCCCATTACCATAGCAACAGGCCTTATAACCTGGAACGTTCACAAAAAATTGGTCTGATTTAGTTTTAACTGGCAAGGTGGTCATTGGTAAACAAAGGAGAATCTAAAGATTGGATTGTTACATAAATTTATCACAATTTAATCTCCCACTATATCTTTTCTGTTAATTGATGTTCTTATAACTTTGGTCTTAGCCAGCAACACATCTATTTCTGAACCACTTCTCTACAAGCGGTAAGGCCCTGAATTAATTTGTGCTGCAAACGCAACGGGCAGGAGTTTCCAGGTTCTGTTGCCAAATGTGAGATAGCTTCAATGTTACATCTAATGGGGCTGTTGAAGTTAGCTGGAAGGCGTCCATTGCTCTAAATCCAACAAAGTTATACTCTTATTTATTAGTGCCAGTAGCAGAGAGAATTACAACATAGATGCTTTAGATTTTTTTGTGATTTTGTTTTTCACAGTTTGTGGTTTCATCATCATACGGTTATTTTAAGCTAGCAAATATCAAACGGAAGTTATGTTTTTCTTTTATAAATTAATTTAAAGTTCTATGTATCAAGCTAGTTCAATTTGCATCCAAACTTTCTATAACTGCAGGATTTTTGCTCCGATTGTTTAATAATAAAAGTTAGATTGGCTTCCATTTTTAAGAATTTGTTTGAGGGCAAACATTTTGTACTCTTTCAACTTACTGCATATGTGGTTAAAATTACCATTTAAAAGATAATGCTGCAATATTTAATTAGACATTTGTTATAGTAGGGGTTGGGCTTACAAAAACAGATTAACAAAAGCCAAAACATTGTGTCAAGCATTTCTTCCAAGAAATGTTTTGACCGTGTCTAAATAATTCTAGACAAAATCTTTCAAAGAGAAAACTGCAAATAACCATTGGTTTATTATAGCATTGTCTGTGTGCTTCATTCATTGTAGTTAGGGGTGCATCACATTTCTGTTTTTTCACTACTTAGTTCTTTTTCAAAAATTGTAGCTACTGCAAAGTATATCACTTCCTCCCCTTCTCTTTCTGTTTGGATACACAAACCATGTACGTCCTGTAGCTCTAGCTCAACACTTTTCATTCAGTAGTGAAGCTGTAATTTACTCCAGTTTCCCAGTGCAGCATTTCAAATAGATTCACAAACAAAAATCTGTAAAAATGTAGATTAAGGGCAGCTTGTGTTGGATATGTCTGCCTTTCAGAATAACTAAAAAGAGTATTACCATTGACCTGAAGCAGTGTGATCCCTGCAGCTGTCTTCCTGATAAAAGCAGGAGCATTCAGATAGTGACAAGCCTAATGTTATTTTCTCTTTAACCATTATATGGATGGTAGGTAATTACTATCATGGCAAAAATGAAAAAAGACTGTAACTTATTTTAAGAAAGTTGATGCCCTTTTTAATAGTATTTATTTGCCTGTTGTTCATGAAGTGCGTTCACTGATGACTAGGAAACATATCATATGGAAATTATGGAAACTGAATACCTTTGTAAATATTGGTGTGTTGCATGCTTTGGTAGGGGAAGAGGAGGAAGTAAAAGACAAGACCTTTCTCTCCTTTCACCCCAATAACTGAGATTTCAAAACACAGCAACATGTAAGGAAACAATTTCTGCGAGGGCAAAGCAAAATATTTGTCCCTATAAAATTTTATGACAAAGATCATAATTTTCAGTGTCTGTTTGAGTCATAATGTGAAATGAAGGGTTACTCACAGCATATGTTCCTTCCCTCTAAGCATATGTTGCCACTTCTGCTCAATCCACTACGTATTTTCCCTATTTCTTACTCAAGTGATTGTGCTATCTCCTATCGCCCTGAGAAGGCACTTGATAGTACGTGATCTTATTTGGCCAGAAAGGCATGCAGTATGAATCGTACAGATGAGGTGAGCTGGACTGTGACTATGCTCAGGGGGGATGCAGGAAGTCCTCTCGGAGAGGACAAAGATGAAGGTCAACTCACCCCGACTGTGAGCCAGCTGTCACAAGTGGACAGACAGGAGAATCACCTGAAACCTGAATTGATTTCTTTGAGGGGGAGAGAACGAAATTTCAGATATCTGTTGACCTCACTTGATGGAATATGTCACAGGCTGGATAGAGCCGCAGAAAGAGTTTAGACAGGCAGCAAATGCCACTGCAGGAAAAGACGATCAGTGCCTTCTGAAAAGTGCCATCGATCAGCTCCTTTAACCGACACTTCTGTCACTTCCAGCTCAAAGTATGCTTAATAACTCTACTTCTAATGAGTACAAAAGTTTTTTTTTTGTTTGTTTGTTTGTTTGTTTCCATCTTACAGTAAATTCCCTACTTAACACTTTAGTTTTATCAAAGTTCATGCTCAGTACCAGAAGCAAACAGGTTCCACAATCTTTTTTTAATTTTTTTTTAAAGGGTGATTTCAAGATTATTTGGTGAGAGCAAAAAGAAAGTAGCCCACTTTTTCAGTTTAAAATTATTTTAATCCAACTTCAGTGAAATAAAACAATATCCCACAGATTGCACCTTTATCAAACAATGAGCTTTAGAATTGAAAGGGACCAAATTTAAAATACATTGCCCAGATTGATTTGATATCTGCCTTGTTGGTCTGATCTCTCTCCTCTTCCTCTTGACCACAGACCAGAGATTTTCTATGAGGTTAAAGGTCAGGGGAGTTTGCTGGCCAGTCAAGAACGGGAACCCCACAGTCATTGAAGCAGCTTTCAGTACCTTTGGCAGTGTGAGTAGGTGCCAAGTCCTGCTGGAATATAAAATCAGCATCTCCATATAACTTGTCCGCAGAGGAAATCTTGAATTGCTCTAGAATATCCTGGTAGACTGTGAACTTCTGGAAAGTTCACTAACAAAAATCAGTAAAAATGTGAGCCAACACCTGCAGATGACATAGCATAGAAAACAGTCACTGACTGTGGAAATTTCACCCTGGATACTTAAAGCAATGTGGATTTTGTGCATTTCCACTCTCAGCTTCTTCAGCAAAAACATTTTGTGGTTTCCCGTCCTTGTGTAGGGTGTCGATGTTTTCGGACATTTGTCAAGTCAGCAGTCTTAGCCATGATTGTGTAGCCTACTTACCCAGAGTGAGAGACTGTCTAAAGGCTCAGGAAACCTTTGGAGGTGTTTTGAGTCAATTAGCTGATTAGGGTGTTGGTTTGAGTTTCCAGTAAAGACCTTTTCCACAGTATTCTCATTTTCTCAGACTGAATTTTGGGCATTCATTATCTATGAGCCGTAATTGTCAAAAATACAAGAAGTGAAGGCATGGAATCACTCAATGTGTGGTGATTCTTGATAATATATGAATTCATATTCATGACAGTAATATCAACAAATATCTTTCACATTCTTTCATATTCAAATTTATGAGATCTACTAAGATGTTCATGTCATTTCCCTTATAGTGCTAAAGTAGCCCTTTACCTCTTGTTAATCTGGCAAATCTTTCCAACTTCTGTTGCCTAATAATTTATAAATTTTGTCTTTGGTAAGCCTTACTCTTATAAAACCACTTGATATACTCCCTTGGCTTTAGAATAAGCTATAAGGTATTACAACAGAAGAAGCTTAGATGCATCAATATAATGATAAAGATATATAATAAATTATCTCTTTAAAATTTATAGAGATACACAAAATGATAATTACTGAAAGGTTGGATGATTCTTGTAATAACTGGAATTATGCAGACCTTCTCATAATAAGTAGGTAAACAAATAAGTAGGTAATGGGAGGATGCAGCCAAGCATTAATTATATTATTTTATCACTTGAATTATGCTCATTAGAGTAACAATAAATTGATAATTACGTCTGAGTGTAAATTGTAAAAGTTATTTAGCACCTTGTTTTTGCATGTATAATTTGTTTTGTTTTTTTAGCAGGCATGTTGAGAGCTTGATTAGAATAACAGCATAAAATAAAATAAGAAATGCTTAAGAAAATGATGCAGTCAAGCATTTTATACAGTATATAACTATTTTATCACTTTAATCATTTGAGTAACAAGGGATTATAATTACATCGGAGTGTAAATTGAGTCAATTATTTAGCACCTTGTTTAATAAAGAAATTATCCTTTAGCAAAGTTAGGCTGGTTACCATCCTCTCCTGCATTTGAGAATGATAAGGCCTCGGCGTGCGGCTGATTGACATGTACATTTTAACTTTTAAATTGAATTAGCACCGTTTTGTAAATCATAAAAGATTTTCTCACATTTGTTTAGCAAATTTAAACAAATGTTATAAATAATAGGATACCATCAAGCAGTGGGGGGCTTGTAAAATTAGATTTATTCATAATAGTTTCTTCACCAATTATACTTGTTATTGTCGTTGAAATAAATTTGTTTATAATGATCACCATGAGGGCCACATGCTGTTCAGGCAGAAAATAAAAAAAAAAAATGAATCTCTTTTACTTCTTAAAGGTTTGCTTTAAAATGAAGCCAAAGACTGTCAGAAGTAATTAAAAGATAAGGTGCAGGAGCACAATGTTCCAGTGTTAGCTGCGTTAAGACATTTAGCTTCACCAGAGTATAACATCCCCTCAACATGCACACATCCTGTAGAGACAAACACATTTCATATTGAGGGGATGACAGAGGTGGTCTCTCACCTGCCAGCAGACCCCCCCCCCCCACAGACATCCTCGCTGGAGAGAGACGTGTTTTTGTCCTGTGGCGTCAGACTGATGAGATACAGAATGTGACAGGAGCACAGTGGTTGTCAATGCGAATTGCTCATGAACAAGCAAAACATTAGGATGGACTAAGCTGAGGTGTTCATTTTTGCAGAAATCGGAGAGGCGGCTCAACTTATTCTGTAAGACATCTCCTGAATTCTTGTTTTTTTTTTTTTTTTTTTTTTTTTTACTTTTTTGCAGGGACAATAAGCCCAACCCCAACAAGTCTTTTGAACACCAGCGCATCCTGCTGACTTGCTGCGGTTGGTTTGTTTGAGCTTCAGGCATATCTTAAAAAGCACACCATATAATTTTAACCAAAACACCAGTGTGAGAAACTTTTTTTTTTTTTCCTGTCATTTTGACTGTTTAACACATCTGTTCAAACATAGTTTACAGACATGATTGGAAGAAAAAAAAAGGATGCCACTCAACAAACCTAATGACTACAGAGAGAAAAAAACCCCACTTGGTGCTGAGGATGTTGTGTAATTTTATAGCTGGTATAACAAGTTTCTGTGTTGGTATAATGAGTGCAGATGGGGAGTTTTAATGACAAACTGACACTCTGAGTGCTGCTGCAGCTACTCCACCCTCCAGCTGCAAGGATGGGAAGCACAAAAAAGAGCAGATTAGAGGAGAATAGTGGATCAACTTCATCAGTTAATTAAACTCCATTGCAGCTTGATGAGCAATTAATCAAAGCAGTGTGCCTAGTGTCAGGCAGGGCTGAGCTGTTCGGGTGCGGTGTGTGTGCTCTGTGCAGTATGTTCCTGGGAGGGCGGCTCTGTGGGGACCAGCACTTACCAAGTGAGCAGCCCTAAAATTGAGCAGGGTGTAATGGCTGGGCTTATGTTAGCATCTATCAATCACTCCCTGACATAAGCCAACACCCCATTGGTGCTCCAGGATTAGGCTCGTCTTAGTTCTAAAATTAACAGTGAACTAGTTGTCTAAGTCGAATCTCTTTTCAGCATACGTCGAAATGTATCAGGTTTATAGTATAAAATAAAAATATTTATAAAATATTTTTGTACAGATTTACAACTCAGAAAACAGAAGCAACAACAAATGGAGTTTCGTTTACTCCATTTGTTGCATCCCAAGAATTTGAGTATTTGTATTCAGCCTCTTTTACTTGGACATGATTAAATTAAATTCAGTGCTTACAGTTGGACTTTTAAAATAGTATGATTTACATTAAAGCCTTAGACCAAGCCAGTCAAAGGTGAGATCTTAATTAATTTGAGAATCGGTGGCAAGACTTGAAAATGGATGTTCACAGATAATCCTATGCAAAGACACAGCTTTGCGGGGAAGATAAGGCACCATTTCCATTATCTTGGTGTACAAATCCAAGAAAGGAGTTCCAAAATATCAAAAGAGTTGAAGTTGTTACAGAAAAGATTGACTCAGGAGGTGAATACAAATGCTATGTTTTTATTTGTGAAAAGAACTGAAAACAATTTCTTTGTGTTGAGCTACAAACAAAATCCCTGTGAAATATATATTTTTTTAAATGTGATTTTCCCCAAAAAATACTTTTGTCTCTTGGATTTTAATTTCCTCAATCTGATCGCTACATGTCATTCTACTGTCTTTCATCTACCTCCTCATCTCTTTCTGCACCAGCGCCGAGGCGCTCTTTATGCTTTGAAAATTCAAGTTGGCAGTTTGTGACTAAATGCAGTAAATTTATTAACAAGACCGCAGGGAACATTAAAAGTCAATTGAAGGAGGCTATTAAAAGCAGATTTTAATTGGGTTAGGGCCTTGTCTGAAACTTTTTTTTTTTTTTTACCCTGTCTCTTTTTCTAAGAGCGATAGTCATAAAAAAAAGTTGAGAATTAATGCGTTCAGTATGTGCTAGTCCTTGAAAGAAAGTCCCATTTTAAAATCGCAAAGGCTTGTTTCATGTTTTTTTTATGCCATTATCCAAGACTTTAAAATTCAGGAAACTGTGTGAAAATCAGCCTAACTGTAAAGTCTGATTATACCTTATGCTCTATTCCTGTGCTTCCTCCTACTGAGAAGCTCATTTATCAATGTTTTATGGTGGAGGAGTACATCTCTTTGAATGGCATAGTTTAACAAGATTTTACACACAGCACAGGTGTCTTCAGATTAGCCCTTGGTCAGGTCTGAGAAGCTGGCTATAGCTGTTGTATCTATTTGCTTCTCCGTTTTAGCAGGTCGATGTTAGGGCCTGCAAGCAGTGAGTAAATTATGTTAGCACTGTAGCTTTACTGGATCAGATTATATAATCTGTTGAAATTACATTACACACCATAGTATTGTCCTAGTTTTGGTAACGTGGTGTGACACATTACAAATGGCTTTAATTGCGCTGTGGCTGCTGGCAGTTCTGACATACTCGACTCTTCCGTGCACTTCGAGGGGCCGGGGTCTCGGAGCGTGCATACTCATGTTTGTTTAGTGGCGGACTCAGAAAGGGAGTCGGCCTGTGCACATGGGAGAGTTGGAAAAGAGAGATGGCGAGGCGGCAGCATATTGGTTGTGCTGACTGGATAATGACATGCAAAGTGCTGCGCCGCTATACTGGGCTGAGCCTCCGACCAGATGCTGCTTTCACTGCAGCTCATAAGCAGAGAGAGCGTTCGGCTGCACCGACATACGCACTCGTCTTCGATGGATTAAACAGGAGGATTGAGGGACTTCGATCATGTACTGTAAAAGGAGCTTATTAAAGCTAATACTCATTATGTGAAGGAGACTGTGGATAAGATGAGTTCTGAACCTCGGAGGTATTTTTGTGTTATTTCTTCATAGTTGGAGTTCATGCAGCTTGTGTAATGAAGGTGCCTGAAAGGGCCTAAAAAAAACTTTACAGATTGAATTGTGCCTTATGAAGACAGAGTTAAGAGGATTATTCATGTTTGTAGCGAATAAAGCGTGCCAGATGGCAACTGTACACAAAGGGGCTTAGCAGGTAAAGTTAATATTAGCTGAATAATTCACTTAATTTTGTTATTTAATTATATATATTCATAGACAGCATAATACATAAGGTAATGAATCTCATTGTGTAAAATCTGGGACGCCCCATTAAATATTCAGTTCATTGTTAATAAATGTTCTCAGAACAATGTCTAATCTTCTTATCTCTGAAATGCTAAGTGATTTAATTGCACCAGATAAAAAAAAAATAAAATAAAAAAACAACCTTGTTTTACATATGAAACAAAAGATATCAACAGACATCTTTTTTGGTGAGGAATCAGTCAGGTCACCTTACCACCAAAAGTTTTTCTTACATTCTTAGGCTCAAATCACTTCAGTGAGATGCTTTTCCAGCCTCTGGCATTGATCTGTGGAAAATTAGCTCCCCTTCTCACAGACGTACGCAGTTGGGCATAAATTTAATTTATGACGAATTTCACAGCATCTCGGCAACATCCAAACCTGCAATTTGAGTCTCCCTATGACTTTCCAGTGTTTAATTTGCAGCTAATTCTTGATAGTTTTACTGACTTGGGTCCTTGTCATGTTGCAGGATTCTATTCTTAAGTTTTTCTCTCTAAATCGCCCTAGTTTTAAGAATGTTGGTATGGTCTGTGGCAATCTCTCGTCCAATGACCGCTGGAGCCCCTCTGTGGCCCTACAAGAACAAGCGGGTGTAGAAAACGAGTAGATGGATCTCACATGTTTGTCAAGCGCTGTCTGATATACGGTAGATGGTGGATTCCTTGCTGGTGAGCTTGTTTTTTTAGTTTTTTTCAGACTTATGTTTATCAGGGATCACTTTCAATTTCCGATTGCTTTAGAAGGCCAAGCCTGGGCATGTTGGCAGTTGTTTTGAATTCCCTCCATTTCAGTACTTTGCAATGAATGATTTCAAATTCTTTTGAGATCAAACCCCTTCCCAGACTCATAAGCCACAGACTTCTTTCTGAATGCCTCAGACAGCGATTTAAAATTTCCACAGTATTCAGTCTTACATCAACAGTCAAGACATGGAAACGTGAAACCTAGTGTTAAAAACAAATCTTCAAAGCTATGAACAATGATGTTCTAGTAATGTTCATCTGATGTGGTACATCTATTTGTAATTTTAGTTATTTTAGGTGGGAATAAATATGGTACTGGTGTATAATACTCCTTCAAAAAAATGCATTTTTTTTGTACCTTTAACAGAAAACTCAGTGTGACATACACACACACACACACACACACACACACACACACACACACTTGGATAACATCATGCAATGGAAAAACAAATTGTGATAAATGCTATTCACACAGAGAACAAGGTGCTATATATGACACTTCAAGTGGAGACTTTTTGAAACAATGGGATCACAGTTAGCAGTAAACAAAATAAAACTTTCCACAAACCCATCTAAATTATAAAATGCTCTAAAAGCTCTAAAAGCAATGCAGTTCTTGTCAGACAGGAAACAAATGAATCACTCATAGATGCAATGTGTTTTGGCATAAAAGCATTATGTTGCTCCAACATCAGTTCACTTTCAACCTTTCACAGTGTAACTATACTTGCATCTCCTGAGACAAAAAAATTTACAATTATATGTTATGGGAAGCTCAACATCCCCAACTGTTTCTGTATGTAATAATTTATAACAATGTTTCACAAATTACAAGCTGTTTTTTTTACAAAACTCCGCTTTGATAGTTCGTAACATCTTTGTGCACGGTGACACATACATCATTGCTTAAAAGGCCTTGTTGTCTGTGCTCTTCTCCTTCCAGGAAAAAGGAAACATTGCTGTAGTATTTAATGTGGGAACAGATGACATAAACATCGAGGAGACATCAAAGTTTGTAAATGATGGAAAGTACCATATAGTGAAGTTTACAAGGAGTGGGGGTAATGCCACTCTGCAGGTGGATGACCTGCCAGTCATTGAGCGCTACCCCACAGGTGAGTCCCAACGCTTTGCCTACAATTGCATCTGCTGCTGCCTATAGGAGACAAAATGACCTAGATGTTATCAAGCCAGCTATTAAAGTCTTATCTGTGAGGATGTCTTTATGTTAACCTGGCATGGGCTTTAATTGCGATTTATGTTTCTGTTTCCAGCAGCTGTTAGGAATCCCACCAGTGTTGCTGAGTTTTAATACTAGATAATGGCCAAGATAAGGCTGTTAAATAACTTTACAAAATGAGTCAAAGCTGAAGTTGCACTTTCCTATTTAAAAGCCTTAAGTAATAGATGGTCTCAAAGGACAGTCAGCCACACTATCTGTATGTCTGTGTGATGCTCTTTCAATCCACCTCCAGTCTACTCTCTAAGGGGCTTAGATCAATAGACTATTCCCTGACAAATTGCCACTTTTATTGTAACCGTGTGCCGTTTAATATATTTATTTCTTCATCAATATTGTTGATTGATTTATTAATTGATGAATGGCATTGTGTTGGACAAGCCTATAATAACAGTCAAAGTAGATGTAGTGCTTACGGAGAATTAAACACCATGTTGATGATTGGCTACCTTTAACAGCTAGTTTAAGCATAGAAATGCACTTTTACATTCATCATTTTGACAGCAAAACCACAATTACCCGCGCAAAAACCAAGCCATGTTAATTTTCTTAGTCATTAGTGCTGCTAATAATTTCATTTGTGTAGCGCTTTTTATAAACACACTTTACATGACAGCAGAAGATGAATGCAGTAATTGCAGCCCTGTGTAATGGCTGGGAAGTAACTGGAAAAAGAAAAGTAGGCTTAAAGTAGTAGAAATGCTGTTCCCAACAGTCGACAACTCAACCTTTAAGAAATTTGCCATGTTTTTCAGGAAAGGCAACTTTGTGCCACTATTTTTAAGGTGAAAAATATGCAGCAGTCTACTGGCGAACCACTAAAATTCAGCAACACTGGTGTGTTTCTGTAAAGTCTTAAAATGCCAGTTATTCAAATTTCAATGCTATTGTTTGTGTTGTTGAAACTCTTAACTTCTTTACCTGCTGTAAGGCTTTGACAAAAGCTACAGAGTGCCAAAGACATGTCAAAGTGACAGATGCAAATCCAAATCTGAGTTCCGCTGTAGGTACAAGCTATTGTTCCAGAAAAGCAAAAGTTGCACAATCACATTTGTTAAGCTGTGAGAAACCATAACATGTGTATGCCACAAAACACAGACAAAAGAACCCGTCTCTTTCTTGTCTTCATAACCTTTAGTGTGACCTTTCTGCGGAGAATTGTGCATTCATCTAAATGATAGATGGTCGTATGACTGCAACCCAAACCTCACAGATTGCCTGAGGTGGAAAAGCGAAACGGAAAGCTTTTGACATGGTCGTGACAAGATGTGAAGCAGATTTAAACACGGCCGTGCTCCCATCTCTGCTTTTAAACATGCGTGCTGTAAGGTGGCTCCTGTGGTTAGCGCTGTTGCCTCACAGCTAGAAGGTTGCCAGTTTAAATCTTGACTGGGATCATTTTGAGAGGAGATTGCACATTCTCCCTATGCATAGATTCCCTCTGGGTAAACCACCTTCCTCACGCAGGTCCAAAAACAAGCATGTTAGGTTAATAATGACTCTCAACTGGAAGTGAATGCCAGTGCATGCATGCGTCTAAACCCTAAAATGTGCTTGCGACCTGTCAAGAGTGCAACTGCATTATTTTAAAACCGTAACAGATTTAAGAGAGTACAGAAAACAGATTACATTGATATTAAAGTCAAAATAATTTAAGTTTAATTTAGCTTCCTATAGTTTATTTAATTGTTTAAAACAGTAGTAAAAGTTTGTTGAAAAGTTAACAAATCCGTGGAGCAGCAGTGAAACGCTGACAGACAGAACTCCTGATTTCAGCTGATTTAATCAAGTGAACGTTATCAAACTCTGAATTTTTAAACAGACTATTTTTGATGATGCCCCACAAATGACAGCCTGTTGCAAAGTGAAAGGGTTGGCTCTGCTTCTGCTGAATTTGAATTGGACTGTTGAGTTGAGGGCAGAACAAGGCAATGGATTTTTTTTTGTTTTTGTAAAAGTCAAATTATTTCCTATGATAATATCTCTCATCCATGCAAAAGGTTTTTGTATTTTTTTTGTCTGTGCTTCAAACCACAACACTGGAACTATTCTATCCCGCTCAGTGAATTATTCTAGTCAATTGAAAAGATAAACGTTTCCAAACAACTGAGCTACAATTGTTTTCGAAATATGTTTCAAACTCTTAGCTGAGCACTGCTTTATGCATGCTAAGAATCTTATTCTTTTAAATTTTGATACCATTAATCTTCACCTGGTTGCCACCAACCAAGATTGGGTAAATATTATGACATTGTTGACTGATATTTGAAAGAGTCTGTCCACATAAAATTTAGAAACATATTTGTAATATCCAGGGTAGAATTTAATATTTACTAACATAGTGTTGTAGTCCATCATTATAAACATGTTATAAGCAAACTATAATTGAAGTCTACTATTAGCCTCCCCACACTTGAGGATTTCTTCATTTTTCTATAAATTGCATCCGATATGGCACCAGTCTAATCCAGATAAAGTAACTATTACTAATAACTTCACAGAACATCACTTCTGTCTCCCGGCTGTCAATTGCAGCTGTAATTCTACTGATTTAAAGGTAAAAGCAGGTAAATGTTGAAAAAAAAAAAAAAAAATACAGCGGCCATCAAACTTGCTTTCAAACCTGTCACAGCTTGTCTGCCCAACATTTGACTAATTTAAATTCTCTTCACAGCATTCTGAAGGGTGGACACTATGTGCATAAATCCTCTCATGGCAAGTGATGGACAAAATGATCAACCTCACCCCCACCAATCACACTTCAGTGACAATGCCAAGTTCAGCTACCTTATTAGGCCTGTAGCAAACTAATTACATCTAATCACAATTACAGCGTGGTCATCCCCCCTTCCCCAGCAAACAAAGTCATTATTCTCTCAGCTCGCCTGTTGTTTGATTAGCATCCATGCATTCCTCTGCCATACTCATAATAGCAACCCTTCGTCCTTCTTAGGCCACTCACGGATCAACAGTGATTATAATAAAAGTGGACAAGAACGATAAAAACAATGGCTAGAAAGTGAGAAGGAGAGACGAGGAGTTTGAACTTAGGGCTGATGTAATATCACTCTAAAAGCAAGGAAATAATTGCTTCAACAGACCCACAACTATACTGCCCTCATAACCTCATTAAAAAGTCTCATACTGAATGCTTAAAGGCCATTAAGTCTTTAGGACAATTATGAGAATCTGAAATGCTGGCTGTGCATTCAGACACATAAGTAGTCTCCTGTTTGTTGTAGCTTAGGTCGATCTTTTTTTCTGTACATAATAGGGTTGTGCAGCAAAGAAAAAAAAAAAAAAAATCAGTTGCTTCTCCTGAGCCTTGGCCGTGGAAGTAATACCATCACAATTGTGCTGCCAAACCCAGAGGGTACAATGCAGTATCCTATCGAAGCATCCAATGAACACGCACTGCACACAAAGATAATGGAGAAGTCCCTGGCCTCATTCTTTTACTGTTATCAGAGCTCGGTGCACTTACAGTGCTCTCTGTCTCTTCCTCTCCTTAGCTCGCACTTCGTTCTTCTTTTTTCTGCCCTTTTTACCTTTGTCTGGCCACCCCCCATGTCGATCCCACCCACTGTTTTTCAACAGTGTGGTCTGGTGTCTGCTCCGACATAAGGGGTGTGAGATTTATTCATCAAAACTCTCGCCTATCTCTGCTCATTTTCTTCCTTGGTCTAAAAAGTCAGCCTTTCCCTTTTGTCATAGGAGTCATCACACAGCATGCTTAAGAAGTGTTCAGCAGCTATCGCAGTCAGACAATGGAAGGGTGTAAAATAGGGGGATGACTTATCTTTTTTTTTTTTTTTTTTTTAAGCTGTGTCTTCCTAAAATCTTTACCATAGCTTAGCTTTGCCACCCTTATGAAAATTTTCTGGGAGCCACAATGAGAGCAAATCTTTCATAATCCTAATAGTTGGTTTTAAATATCCGTGTAGCTTAGAATTGTCATGTTCAGGTGTGAGCACACTGCCTTGGTATTTTTAACTAAAAGTGGAAAAAATGCATTCCAGGTTTTTTAAAAAAAACCTTGAATATTAGCTTTTAATTTAGCACCAACAAAAGGCTCCAGATTAGCCAGCATCCATCCAATAGATCTTATGTTACCCCAGCACAGAAAAAAACAACAATTTAGAGATTTGCGTAGGTTTCTCCTATTTAATTGCCCCCGTTAACATCATCTCATCATCTCGTAAACAATCCGAGTGTTGGAATATTTGTTCGTTTTACGTGGTGGGAATCTGAGGGCTTGTTATGAGATAAAGTTGCTGTCTTATCTGACCACTCCATTAACGAAAAAAAAAAAAAAAAAGAAACAAGTGGGTAAGGGAATGGTGGGTCGGGTGGGATAGCTCAGCTGAATCGCTGCTGCCTGGCAGTGGAGATAAGACAGGCTGTCCCACACCAAACCAAATCACCTCTTAACAGCAGTCACAGGCTCCGCTTGCAGGCACGATGAATGGGCTGCAACAAAGCCCTGGGGATAGCATTGTTTAACACCCCATGGTTCTGCAGTGAGGATCAATATATGATCAGACCTTGATTATATCCACACTTAATTAACCTCAGTACAGAGATAGACTGAGCTTGCCATTGGATGCAGAGCCAGAAAGATAAGCTCTTTAAAATTGGTGCATATTTTTGCTCCGATGTGAAGGATTCTGGCACAATAGCAAGCTTTGTCTGAGCGTGAGTATGCGTGTTAACTGTATAGAGCATTTGCCTACATGCACCTGGCAGCCTCCAAAGGTTTTTCCATTAGTGTCTTACATTCCTAATTAAAAAAAGGAAACTTGTAATCTTTGCTTCATAATTTTATTTGCACATTGTAGCTGCACCGATAACCTGTTTTTTTTATTTTTTTTTTATTTTAACTACTTTAACAAATAAAACCACCATTTGTATTCCCAAATTTACACTGACTAATGATGAAAAGTATCAGGGAAAATGTTTTGAAATTCAACGTGTCTCCTCCCGACTCTAAATTTATATGTCCTCACTGTCCTTTCATCAGCTGTAGGCTAGCATTTCTCCGAAGCACCAATCTGCTCCTGACCTCTCCTCAGATGAGGTGATGCAGTGGCAGGAAATGGAGAGGTGACATAACTAACACCCCATGACTGGCAAATGGAGGTGACAGGAATTAACAAATCCCATGAATGTTCCATTCTAACAGCAATCAAGGATTATTCATCATTTTGTCTCATTGAAAATGCCGAGAGGCACAGCTGTGTTTGGCTGCGTAAACATTTGTCCCCAACAAATGCACTATTTACCCATGTTGGATCGTGCAAGCTATAATCTGTGCTGAAAACTCTTTGGGAAACCATTTACCACACTTTAGTGAGTGAAGAAAATTTAATAGGAGCTCTTTCAAACTGTGTGGTGTTGAATTTAAAGACAATTCTTTATATAATGCAAAATGACTTAATAGGAACGTAATGTAAATGGATGAAGTCTGTGTTACTTCAAGAATATAGAAAGGCTTGCATTTTATTAAATATGCGTCAAATGAAATGTTCTCTCTTGATTGTGTTTAGATTGAAAATCACAACCATTGTTATTCTTTAAACTTCATTCATGTGATGTTAAATCCCTCTGGGAACAAACATTTGCAGGATGTGTTTCATCACGGTTTGCATTCATACTGTTAAAATAAAACATCAACTCAACAACTGATTGATGATTTCATACTGCCTTGTAAATATTTTTAAAAATTACTTTAATGTTCAGTCGGTCCTTTGGGCTTCTTTCCTTTGCAGAAGCTATTTTGTTTATCAATTCCTTAAGGCTCTGAGTCAATGTGCTACCCTGTCAATTTGAACTTTATTTGTCTTAGTAAAGTATTTTAAGGAATGATACAGATTGATATAACAAAAATACCTAAATTCTACTTTTATTTCAGGCCACTTGTATATGATTTCCAATAATGGTACTTCTGATCCATTTTTGGGTCCAGTTGACTGTGAGATTATTCAGTGTAGTAAAACAAAATTATTATGTTTCAGTAAACCTCCGTATATTATTAAGAAATGCCTTAAATCCCACAGTTTTAAGAGACAATTTTATTTTGACCCCACAAGTTTTTGCTCTTGTCGCGGTAGTGACCCTGTGTGCACTTTTATCCATTTTTTTTTATGTCATTTTGGAAATTGACAGTCTGACAGCACTGCCCCTATACTGTCCCAACATGACATTTTCCATGCTCCTCCTTGCTAGACTGCTGGACACTTAAAAAATATGCCTAGGTTTTACAAAAAGACATTTGGAAGACCAAAACTTGAATGTCAAAGAGAGAAAATGACCAGCACCAATAATTGCTCAAATATAATGATTTCTGAACCAATGACTATATTTTTACCTTAGAGTTTCACCTTATCTTAGGCGAGGACCCATTACTTCTCAGTGTTTATAAATAAGTAAAATAGATGTATGTATTGTCTGCGGTCTAGATATAAAAGCAAGTGAAATGCATAATCACTGTGTTTCTCATTCAAACACCTTCTGTAACAAGAATGATAGTTAAGGAAATTTAATTATGCTGAAAGAACAGACTAAAAATGGACTAAATGAATTTTTTCATGGCAGGCTCACTTGGCTTCATCCATGTTTATTTTTTACCAACGGGAAAAAATGGGCATTGTTTAGCAATGTTGCTCTCACATTAGCTAATGAAGTAAAAATAAAACACCCTAAATTCTTGTGTGGCTTTCAGAGTGCAGAACAAATCTTTCTGAATTGTTGCTGAGGTGAAAGTGCTCAACTAAATCTCACTCACAGACCATTGTGTTTCAACTTGGCACAGTCAACTGCATCCAAACACCATGAGCTGCACACACAAGCCTTAAATCCTTCTCTGTGTGGCTGATCCTCAGCAGTAATTCAAGCTGATGTGATTAAAAATGTCTTTTTATGCGCCACCTTACCTCCAAGACCTTTCATCTGATCAAACGTGCATCTGTTACAAGGTTAGCCTCCTCTGTTCATTTCTTTGCCTTTTTTTTTTCCTCTCTGAGGCCATTCTCTGCTGACTCATTGTTAGCTACAGGATCCTTTATCGGCCAGAACTGAATTAATATAGTTGATGGGACAAACATTGTCAATCTGCCAGAAGAATAGAGCTGACTGAATTCAATCTCAGCAGACAATACCAGGGGAAAAGCTCTCAGAGACAGTGCCACTTTGCTGAGCGTTTTCTGTTTTTGAGAGGTTATTGGCCTTGACAAAAGGGTGATGCAGAGTTTTCCTTCATTAAAGCCAACATGTCCCTCCAATGTTGGAGTGCAGATGGACTTCTGCTCTTATATAATTTATTTGGGATATGTTTTAAAAAAAAGATTTTCCTAGCTGACATAAGTAACCCAATTAAACTCAAAACTTTACCAGTTGTAGCTTTTGTCAAAGCCATTTTATTACAGGGTTAACTGTGTATGAACTTACATTGACATTGTCTTCTGACCAGGTGTAATCTGTTTTAATTGTACTATTGCAAACATCTTAATATTTATTGTCAATTAGGCTATTGTTAAATGGGGGGTACATTTGTTAAAGTTAATATAACTATAAAAGATTTACATAATAATAAAATTAAATGATGATTCTTTGGTGTAGCTGGCCAAAAAGTCATATAAAAAGATGCAGAAGGAAATACAAATTTTAAGGGAGGTTTTTGGTAATGGTCATTTTTTAAATTTGTGCTTTTGGTTGTTTAATAACATAGCTTTATTAATTAAAATGAAACGGTTCCATGATAGTTCACTTATTTTTGATAAACTAAATCTAATTTGTTGGCTAAAATAAAATAAAAAAAGAGTACAGTTTGTTCAAATTATGTTTTAGTAAATACTGTGTTTTAAATTTATAAATAAATATTAAATTAACTTTGTGCAGTCTTTAACTCCAGCTTTAAGTATGAACGTCTAACCTTTGACCTTACAGATTTTAACCAATGAAATGTCTCTTTAAACTTTAAAGGCAACATTGATAACGAACGCCTGGCGCTTGCTAGACAGCGAATCCCATACCGACTCGGTCGAGTAGTTGACGAATGGCTACTCGACAAAGGTAAAATCACTGATTAAAACTTCAAATAAAATAAACTGATCTTAACCAAGTTGTAGCACCATTTTGTAAATAATAAACCTAAAAAAGCAAATGTTCAGTAAAACGTAAAAAATTTAAATGTTTTGAACAGTTAAATTTAGTTGGTAGTGTTTTTATAATAATGTATTTACTTTCCAGATGTCAGCTCTTTTAATAAGTGTTTCTTTATGGTTAAAGGGACTGTAAATATGAATTTAAATGTATCCAAGCTCATAAAAAATGTCTATAAAGTACTGTAGTGTTTTTGCTGTAAATATAACTGATAGTTCTAAAAGTTGTAGTTTAGCTATTCACAGGTGTTTAAGTGTTATTTGAAACACTTTTATTATATTTAGATTACAGGGTATTACTTAGTGTTGTTTGATATATTCAGATAAAATGCTAGCAATGATAAATAGTGCAATATCAATTGGCATTAGAATTTTGAGTCCCTTTAACAGCTATTGTAAACATGTATAGTCATTGAGATAAAGAAACTGTAATATAAAATAAACTGAGTGCATGCTGTGTTTTCATAGTTCAATAACTAATTCATATTGTGAGCTAAAATATTATTAGCCCTATCATTTTTATTATTTTCTTTTGGTGTTTATTCCTCCTGTTTGTATGCAGTTTATTTCATATTTTATCTTTTTTGTAATCTCAACAACTGTTTAATTTTTCCCCCCTGTTTTGCTTTTGCTAAAAGGGTCAGAAGTAAAAGTGCAGGGTCTTATTGTTTATTTTTTTCTTTTTCTTTTTTTCTTTTTTTTGAGTCTAGATACAAAAAAAGTCTACTCTCACTGTCTGTTCCACTCTGTTTTATTTAGTTTTCTTTTTGGATGTCAAATAAAAAAAAAAATAAAAAAATAAAAAAAACTGTCAGCACGACAATAGAACAACAACATATATGCATTTTTATTTATATTTTCATTGAAAAAAAATATTAATTTTGCACTTTTAAGATAGTTCCTGCTTGGTGAATTATTTTATTAAAAAAATCTTACAAATATATTAATTGCATTCCTATAACATTTAAAAATTATTATTATTATTATTATTATTATTATTATTATTATTATTATTATTGTTGTTGTTGTTGTTGTTGTTGTTGTTGTTGTTTTTATTATTATTATTATTCTTATTATTATTATTATTATTATTATTATCATATATTACTGGTAGAATTTCCTTTTAGCAAAGCTTTAATTTTTTATTTATTTTTCACGTTCAGCTTTTACTTTACTCACCCTTTTTATTATCATCTCATTATTATAACTACAATAAATTACCAGGGTTTGTCCAGATACCTTGTAATTTATTGGTCCCATTAGCCACTGGGCAAATAATCTGTCTTTCTGTCCTTTTATTTCCTGTTTTAGTGAAAGTGGTTGAGTCCACAGTTTAGCGTTCCTGTATGTATGTAACATTCTTTTTCTGCAGGGCGACAGCTTACAATCTTCAACAGCCAAACTACTATACAAATTGGGGGCTGGGAGCGAGATCGGAGTCGATCCTTTCAGGGCCAGCTCTCAGGTCTCTACTACAATGGCCTAAAGGTGTTCAACATGGCCGCCGAGGGCGATCCCAATATAAAGATCCAGGGCAGCGTTCGGCTGGTTGGGGAGTCTCCCTCCTCTATCACGCCTCAGTCGAGCACCACAGCCAACCGCTCGGAAACATCCACATCCATCATGGAAATCACCACCACCACCGCATCTACCAGGAGAGTTAAACAGACCACACCGCGGGAACCTCAGCAGGTGGGAATGTATATTTTTCTTCATTCCTACACGAATCTCATAATATATTTCACTGATGTTCATACGTGGATAAGCAAACACTGAATGAGCAAACAGTTAAAAAGAAAGTACATACATCAGTTTATTTTGCATTACATGTCCTTTCTTGAGCTAACATTTGTTTTACTTAAAAAAACGATCATATTTAGCAATTTATTACACAGCTGGATTACTATCTGCAGGTGCTCTTTCAAGCATTTCTCATGGTAGCAATCAGATATGGTTGGATAAGGTGGGTGTGTCTGTGAGTGATAGTGATCACATAGGTTCTTCATCATCCTAATCAGTCCTCCAGGTGTGTGTTACCTCTTAAATGTCAAAATGTGTGTCATATCCAAGGACATTGTTATCAGATAATTAATGTGTTGTTTTAGCCAAGAATGGAAGTATTATTCTATTAAATCCTTCAGGGTAAAGCATGGACCAGTCTTACCTCTTAAGTGTGTGCAGTAAGGAGGCCTTTAATGAAACCAATTTTTGGTGAGCAATAAATTGTTCCAGAAATGATTGCAATAAACATTAAAAGTGTCATCACTCATGCACTCATTCACAGGAAAAGCATAGAGGGATCTTTAAATATCATCATAGACTAGAAGAACCTTTTTATTAAGGTTTAATCAGCCAATGGTTTAAAATACCTATGGATTACTTATTTTTTGGATTAATAGGACTGGGTTGAGAAATATTATAAAGTCTTATAGTACAGATAGGTTTAGTATCATTTTTAAAATGTATAAAGTTTTTGTATTTACAAAAAATAAGTTAATAGCTCAATTTGAAATGTTGAGAAAACAATTTTGTTGCTACAAATTCTAATAACCACTGATAAATATCTAGTTTTTTAATCTGATTTTCAAACCCTATGAACACTCAAATATTAGCGATTTTTAGCTTTAACACACTTTCTTCCACTTTATTATTAAGTAACATCATCGCTGCAGCAGAATGAAAGCACGCCACAGCTGGTGGAGTAACAAAGGACTATTATTATGTCCTAATTCCTAGTGAAATGTTACCAAAGCACAAACTGAATTGACTGGGAAGGAACAGACACTAACTAGAATTGAGCTCATTCTTATTTACGTCCATCATTGTAGAGAAAATTGAGGGATGAGAGGGAAAGACAGGGAGTGTTTGGTGATTTAGAGAATGAAAACAGAAAGAAAATGTAAGTACTGAAATTATCTTGGTATAATGATAGACTTGAATACTCTAATCAATAACAATTTCCCATGTTGCAATCATGCATTCATCCTCTTCTTACCATTCTCTGAGCTCACACTTCCAACTGAATGGTTAGTAAAAAAAAAAAAAAAAAAAAAAAATCCTAGCTTCTTGTACCCATTTAAAAAGTGTACATGAAAGCAAGCATTTATGGGATCTACAGGGAAGTATTGATATAAGTTTGACTTAAAATTTCAGAGATGGATTGAATTTAACTGAATGAAAAAGAAGAAACGAGCAGATTTAGCTATTTTTGTATGTGAATACAGTACTACACCCTTCCGTCAGAGGCATCCATATAAGATAAAAGGTCACAGTATTAAAGAGTTGCTGAACGATGTGGGTGGGTGATAAATGAGGCATGGAAAACTGTAGTCATTGGGAGCCTTCAAGAACATCGGGATGTATTTAACACAACAGCCTGATGAGTTACTGCAGTAGGACACTATTTTCTTCTGACGCTGAACACTCAAAGACACCAGAACTAGTGAGAAATCTGAATGTAGTCATTGGATTTAAAATAGGAAAACTTTCATTCACTGTTTTCTCGTTCCATCTCCAATGTGAGAGTGAGTGTAAAAAAAAGATTGCAGGTTTGATCAAAATAATATGAAATACACTATTTTTTTCTTCTTCCATACAAAAGAGTCAAGGATAAAGTATAAAAAATTAAAAAAAATGTTCTTATACTTAGTTTTTGGAAAATGTATTGCACAGATTTAATCTGCAGGATTCTCAGTCATACAATACATTTTAAATCTGAAGAAACATTAAAGTGAGAATGTTCTTTAAGAAAAACGATCCACATGCAATGAAACTCTTGATTATCAACATTTTGAAAAATGTCATCATTTTTAGTTTCATCTTAAACTCCTAAATATTACAATTAAGAGGCTCTTGTTGGTTTTTGATTAATTAAATTACTCCAGCTTTTACAGAGAAACATAAACTAATGGCTAGACAATGAATACATATACATTTTGATTTTATGAAGAACATGGTGTGCTCACTAGCTTTGCACACATTGTAAATATTCTAGCACAGTAAGATCTTTGAGTGATGCATGCTCTGCAGATTTAGGGTGTGTCGCCTTGCATTGCTCCACTTATCTCTCCAAGGGTAAAGTCACTGGATGGAATAACGATTTTGAGGGGTCCGGCTTTCCTCTCGCGCCCTTTCTGAAAGTTCCTTGAATGCTTGTCTGGGCTGATATTTTTGAATCCTCTGGGCTTCGGTTTATGGGTAATGTCATGCCATAGTCTTCTAAAGCCCCTCTTTTAGCATAACTTTAAGAGAATAAAGTTATGCTTTATTAACAAGATGATTGTCATTTTAGAGGAGAGGATTTTAATCATTAACCCCAGGGGGAAAAAAAAAAAAAGTTTATGAGACAAAATTAGCTTTACAAGAGATTTGAATTCAGATCCCAGTTGGAATGACTTAATCTTAGAAGATGACATTAACCAGTACAAAACACAGTGGATAACACAGACGCCTTGCCTTGACGGTAACTCATATGCTCCTAGTTTCTAAATTGGTTGTCTCTGCAGTGACTTTTTCTGCTGTGTCTGCTTACTGCTGAATGCAGAGCAGGTACAGTATTGTTTTTGCTGAACTGTCACGTCCTATAAGTGTATTTACATACAGCAGTGCTTAATCACATCCAATTAGACCATGCTTATGCATATATTTACTGACAATGAAACAGCAACTGTGTACATAAAATCACAAAGACGAGATATGAATTCCTTCTTCTGGATGTGAATCCCAAACTTATTTATTAGGCACTATAAATTGCTAAAACTTGATTTCATTTTTTTAAATTTTATTCTGGATGTTGAACTTTAAGAGAAACTCCTCAACAATGTGATTGTTGAAGATATCCATTAAATAAGATGAGGTCACACCATTTCACACTTTACAAGTTACCATTAACATTTTGAGTTAAATTAGCTTGTAGTCGAGGGAAAGATGACTCATCCAAACCAACCTACAGTTATAATGAAAGTATGAACATCTCTTAATAAAAGAGGTGGGTTTCTGTTTTTGCACACTTTAACTAATAAAAGTACAAAATGGCTCAAGTGAAAACATTACTAAAAATTTGCAGGGCTGGAAAGTAAGAAGCGTTGCAGTAATTAGGGACAGTTTGTCTGTACTCTGAACCTTAAGTTTATACTTTTACTTGAGTTTATTTTGAGTAAACTCTTTTAGATCTGAAGTCATATCTCTTAAAGAGTGAAAATTAAAATAAGACGGAAAAAAAAAACACCAGAAAAACTGTTGATTAGGATATCATTATTTTGGCAACAATTAAAAGACAGAGGTGCAAAAAAAAAAAAAAACACCCATCAAATATAGTTCAAGATAACCTGTGAGAAAAAGAAAATCCATGGCTCTACCTAAGGGATTAGTTTATCTATAAGTATGAGAAAGGCAACACCTCTATCAAAACTGAGTTTACAGTTAAATCAAACTGTAAAATCAGTTTGATTTATCTTCAAAACTATGGCCATGTAAACATTCAGAATAATATTTTAAGAAGAAATGTAAATCATATTTAGGTAACACTTTATTTGAAGGGGATTGAATAAGACTGACATGACACTGTCATAAACACCTGTCATAAACATGAATAAGCCTTCATGAATATTTATGACTGTTGTCATAAAGTGTCATTCGGTAAATTATGACACTTTTAATACAAAGTTGACATTATTCAAAATGTCTTTGTTATGACAACTTGACATTAACCAAGAAATCATTACTGATATAAATTTGCTATAAAATAATTACTGATTGCACTTTAAAAATTAGGTATCTTTATGTTATTAAAGGTAAAGTTTAAACAGTAATGATTTCCTGGTTGATGTTAAGTTGTCATAACAAAGACATTTTGAATAATGTCAACTTTGTATTAAAAGTGTCATAATTTACCGAATGACGCTTTATGACAACAGTCATAAATATTCATGAAGGCTTATTTATGTTTATGACGGTGTCATGTCAGTCTTATTCAACCCCCTTCAAATAAAGTGTTACCCATATTTATGATTAGAATTTGTATTAGTTGAAGCTGAAAACCGACCGTCAGGTGCTTAGTTCAGAGGCAGTTATGTAAAACTATAAAATAGGAGGGACAGAGGATCTATTGGATGAAGATCAGAACTGCCAGGTTCTGAAGAAAAGGAAAACAGAGAAACTTCATAGATGGAGTGGAAGATGCAAAAAAGGATGCTGAGATGGAGGAAATGATCAGCTGAAGAGAATCTTAAAGACAGCAGCAGAACTTCTAAAAAAGTAACTAATTGGTACTTTTCCTTGTTTAAATATGCTTTTTTAAAGTAACTGTACTTTTACTTGAGTATATTATTTTTGCACTCTTTCCATATCTGCATCACTTTTACATCATGTTATTATTTAGCGCCATGGATGATGCAACACAGTCCATTGTCCCTTGCTGCATTGCACCAAAATGAGCCACATTGCATAAACCAAACGTGTATAATGATCTGATGTGGTGGCGTCAAACCTGCTTTCACTGTGTAAAGCAAAGTTGATTTTGACCATGAACCAGGCTGCAAACACCGATCCAACATACTGCCTGACAGCTTAATGTTAGGGGCCACTTATTGACACATTTGTGAAAAGAAAAGGAACCAATCCAGAGTTAAGGTCTTTTTTTGAAGGTTTTTTTAAGGCACTACTGACCTTTATTTGCAGTATTTAGGACAGGA